AAAATGATTTCCTTGAAGAGTTTTTTAACTCTTCTTGAGAGTGCTGCTGTAGATAATCACCATCCTATCCTTCTTGGCGACTTTAATATACACGTAGATGATTCTTCTGATAGGTTTGCTCAATCTTTTCTTAATGCTATAGAAGCCCTTGGGTTCCAACAGCATGTCCAGGGTCCCACGCACCACGCAGGCCATACACTCGATCTAGTTCTCAGTAGAAAATCTGAAGATATTATTTCCCACATTACTCTTTTGTCATCTCTCCCATCTGATCACTCTGCCATCCTTTCCACCATTAATCTCAAAGGGCCTAAAAACCCTAAAAGGAAGGTGAGCTTCAGAAAGCTTCGCAACATCGACTCTAACTTCTTTCGTCAGGACATCTAACAGGAATTGACATCTTCTCCGTGTCCTTCTTGTCCTTCTGAAGCAGTTTCATTCTATAATGACAGTTTGGTTAAACTGATGGACAAGCATGCCCCTCTGAAAACTGTGACTGTTACTATCAGACCTAATACCCCTTGGTTCTCTGATGAGATTAGGGAGGCCAGGCGACATAGGCGTCGCGCTGAACGTCGCATGTTAAAGTCAGGCCTGCAGATTGACAAGGAGCTGTATCGTCAAGAATGTGAGTCATACTACATTCACATCACCTAAATCGCAATACCTGAGGAAAGAGATTGCCAATGCTGACTCTAAACAGCTGTTTAACATCGTGAAGAAACTCTCATCTCCTATTCAGTCTTCCATTTATCCCGAACACTTCTCCAATTCTGAACTTGCCAATCAGTTCAGTGAATACTTCAAGAAGAAAATCAGTGATATTGTGTATTCTTTTGCACCTAATGTTAATTATGTGCAGTCACACGTCCAACCTCCTGAGAACCCGCTAAATTGTAGCCCGAGTGGGTTTATGCCAGTGACTGAAGTCCAGCTTCGACGTCTAATCAAGTCTACTCCACCGAAATCTTGCAGTCTGGATCCTATTCCAACTTGGCTGCTCAAAGATTGCCTTGATGAACTGCTTCCGGTCCTGACCTACATCATCAATGCATCATTGTCATCAGGTGTGGTTCCTCCGACATTCAAAACGTCACTCGTTGTCCCTCTGTTGAAAAAGCCTAACCTAGACTCAAATGTCCTTGGCAATTACCGCCCAATTGCCAATTTGCCATTTGTGAGCAAGGTCTTGGAAAGAATCGTGGCTAACCAACTCATGTATTACGTGGACAGTCACCATCTGCTCCCCGGAAACCAGTCCGCATACCGCAGCCTCCACTCAACAGAAACTGCATTGTTGAAAGTACTCAACGATCTACTCCTTGCTGTTGACAAGGGTGATGAGGCCGTTCTACTTCTTTTGGACTATTCCGCAGTGTTTGACACGCTTGACCACACCGTGCTGCTACATCGTCTTGAAAATGACTACTCCATCTCAGGGACTGCCCTGCAATGGATCAAGTCATATCTACAAGACCGTACACAGAAGATAATAATCAACGGGACCTGCTCAGCTCCACTTGCTTTCCACTGCGGAGTTTCTCAAGGCTCCGTCGTCGGCCCTTTGCTGTTTCTTCTTTACACTGGTCCTCTCGCAAGAACCATCACTCGTCATCAGGGTGTGAACTACGCTATGTATGCAGATGACACTCAAATTTATTTAACTATGTCACCTCGTGGTAAAGTCGATGCTGTTAATTCCCTAAAAGATTGTCTTCTTTTAGACATCAAGGTCTGGTCAGCCAATAACAGACTCCGTCTTAATGAAAAAGTCAGAACTGATCCATTTTTCCTCACAGTTCAGGAGCACAGTGCCTCTATAAGTTCTGACAACCGACGAGGGTGTACTAAAGACCTCTGAATATGTTAGAGACCTGGGCATCACATTGGACAAAGACCTTACTCTTCAAAAGCACATCAAAAACGTCTGCAAATCTGCATCTTGGGGCATCTACAAAATTGGAAAGATCAGGCGACTGTTTGACAAAGCCTCCACTGAAAGACTTGTCCACGCCTTCGTCTCTTCCCATCTGGACTATTGCAACTCCCTCCTTGCCGGCCTCCCAATTTCTCATATATCTCCTCTCCAGCGCATCCAAAATTCAGCAGCTAGATTGATCACATTAAGTAGGAAATATGACCATATATCACCCGTTCTTCGCTCACTTCATTGGCTACCGGTCCATTCTCGCATTACTTTCAAAATCCTACTTCTTTTGTACAAAATAACACATAACCTTGCCCCTAAATATCTTCTTGACCTAGTCTCCCTTCGATCCTCCTCTTCTGCCAGATCCCTCCGTTCATCTTCCTCCATGCAATTAATTCACGGCCCACGAACAAAAACCTGTTATGGTGACCGTGCCTTTTCATCGATTGCCCCCGCCCTCTGGAAAAAACTCCCACCCCATATTCAAAATGCCCCATCCATCCAATCATTCAAAACCCTTCTCAAAACCCACCTTTTTAATCAGTTATAGTTTACTGGAGGCGCACACAAGTAGTTAACTCCATTCAACTCAATTGTATTGTATTGCATTGTATTAGTAATATTTCATTTAACTTTGTTGCTTTTAAGGTATTAAACATGTTGAATAATTAAAAGTTAGACAGTACCACCTGTGTGCTTAGAAACATCTGTATAAAGCGCCCTATAAATGTAATTATTATTATTATTATTATTAATATCAAAAGAAAATAGGAATAGCCAGGTTATTCCTTATGTATTTCCTTTTTTTTTAAATTTATGTATTTTATTGTTTTTGTTGTTTTATTTTAATTCTAACTTGATGCGCAAGACTCGAAAGAAAAGTCGGAAAATTTTAGCACAAGATTCTTTAGCGTTGAAAAATAATCGTAAATCATATATTCTTCATATTTAAACATTAATATTCACCACCGGTACATATATTCTTTAGACCATTAGGGATAGTAATATCAAAAGAAAATTGGAATAGCCAGGTTATTCCTTATGTATTTCCTTGTTTTTTTAAATTTTATATATTTTATTGTTTTTGTTTTATTTTAATTCTAACTTGATGCGCAAGACTCAAAAGAAAAGTCGTAAAATTTCAGCACAAGATTCTTTAGCGGTGAAAAATAATCACAAACAAATGTAGGGGGGGGGGGGGGGCTTCCAGCATTTGCCACATATTGTTTTGCTAACTTCATTTTGTTTAAAGCGTGGTATTTGATGTAAAATATTATTTAAGTTGGTGCTAGAATTTCTAGCACCCTTTATGACCACAAATTGAGAGTATATTATCTTTACCTAAGCTGTTGGTGAGGTGTCGTGATCCTTATTTTTTCACCATATTCTGAATCTTCTCTCCCCCCCCCCTCTCTCTCCCCCTCTCCCTTTTCCATCTCTCTCTCTCTCCTTTCTCTTCCTTCCCCCTTTCTCTCTCACTCTCTTCTCTCTCTCTCTCTCTCTCTCCCTCTCTTCCTCCTTCCCCTACTCTCCTCCCTTTCTCTCCCTTTCTCTCCCTTTCTGTCACTCTGTCTCTCTATCTTTCTCTCTCTCTCTCTCTCTCTCTCCAGCCTCTCCTACCCCTTCCCCCTCTCTCACTCTCCCTCTCTCTCTTACTCTCCCTCTCTCTCTCTCCCTCTCTCTCTTACTCTCCCTCTCCTTCCTCCCCCTTTCTCACTCTCACTTTCTCACTCTCACTCTCTTCTCTTCTTTTCTCTCTTTATCGAGTATAGGCCAAGCTGCAGAGGGAGAAACAGCTGAAGATTGCAGAAGAGAAGAAGATGAAGGTGGAGAAAGCTAAGGTCATTGAGGTCAAGGTCAACATGTGGATTGAGGAAAGAACAACTAAGGAGCAAGAATCGAGAAAAGCCAACTGGAGGCTAGAGAAGACAAAGAAACAACTTGAAGCAGAAGAGAATAGAAGAGTACAGGAGAAAGCAAAGGTGAGTGTTAAAGGGGAAGTCCACCCTGATATTAAGTTGCTTTTAATAAAAGCAGGAAATTGAGAGAAAAAGGTCAGTGAAAGTTTGAGCAAAAACCGACTAGAAATAAGAAAGTTATGAATTTTCAAAGTTGTCATCATTGAAACACAAATTGGCAACACTGTGACATTTCTTGCAAGCTCCTCTCCAATTTTATAAACTTTCGTTTTCTTACTGATTGGTAAGGGAAAAGATGATTCATACAGGGGTTGTATAAAAACATCTTCGAAATAATTATATTTAGGGTGAACGTATCATTGCAAATTTTCTTACTGACAGGTGGTTATCAGCTCTAAATTGACATAGGCAAAAGGAACCAACTGTCACTGCGCATAGGGACTATCATGGTGTTAGTGATATGCGCTATACAAATAACGTTCATTATTATTATTATTACTGCTTAGGCATTGTTTGCTACATAGAGGGCGTAAGTAGCTATGAGTAGTGCAGTGGGGCTTTACGGAAAGTATAGATTTTTGAAGTTTTTAAGTACAGGGCAAATAGCAGGGGAGCTTGCAAATTTCAATGCAAAATATGTCATAGTATTGGCTGTGTTGCCAATTTGTTTTTAACTGAGTGCAACTTCAAAAATAAATATCTTTCTCATTTCTAATCAAAATTTGATCAAATCAAGAGACCAACCTTTGTCATCTCCCATTGAAAGATGTCACTTAAAATGAACCTTTGTGATTGTATTATCATTCTTTGTAGTCTTTAAAATAGTGTTGTTTAAATCTGTGAGATTCTGTTTTCTGCAATTGCCAGAATAAGAAATCACCTTTCATCTTCCCTTATTTTGAAGGAGAACTATGGAGAATGGAGGAGCAAGAAGAAGGCTGAAAAAGAGATGAAGGAGAAGAAGGAGAAGGAAGAACAAAGTGCTGAAGAAGAAGCCGAAAGGAGGAGGAAAGAAGAGGCGGAAGATGCATACCTGAAGTGGAAAGAAGAGGCCAAGACGAGACCATTTCCCCTAGCTACTCGATTTGGCTATCCTCAGGGCTCTGTCAAAGGTAAACCAGTCAAAGTTACTGCCTTATGCACCATTCACAAACCCAACTTAAAGGAGCATTATATAAGTGTGTGAATGGGACCACATCAAAACAATGCACATCACTTTTGTGCTGCTATACAATACAAATAATTGCCACAGCATAATCGTTTATATTATAATTTGAGTAAGGAAATCCTTTGATATTTAAAACTTTTAGGGTTTTGCACGCCTCGGGACGAAAAAATTCCAAGTATCATTCATTCTGATTGCTGATCATTCTAAAGGTTTTCCACTTTTTAAATAAGTTGTTTGAAATCTCTAAATGAAATATGAAAACTCAAAGTAGTACCTGAAAGAGGATGGCTCTGGCATGGCAACAGATATTGCATGCCATTCCAGCCGCGATTTAGAGATTGCATATATGCGCTGCCGATCGTAGCACTACCCGCACGCGCACGATTTTCAATAGAATTATGACGGTGGTAGCTCAGGAACCGGACGGGGAGCTGAGAGGGCCTAGGCCTAGATGGACAAATCTAGCTCTTTCATGGTCTCTTTGACATTAGATGTCATTAGATGTCAGTAATAATGTCAAAGAGACCATGACTGTTTTACAATTGCAAATAATGCATTTGCCATTCAAAAATAAAAATGGATGGAATATGATACTTATAATTGAATATCAAACAGTATTATTTCATAAACCATAATCAATGCATTCAGTCATGTGCTGTTTCACAACAATGTACTGGCAGTCAGGCACACACAATGTCTTGTGACTTTTGAATCAGGCCATTTTGTCTTTAATCTGTGCTCATTCAGCCATACAGTGATGAATATCTCTAATTTGCACACAAAATGTACATAACAACTGCACCAATAGTGTGGTAAGATGACATTGTGATACATTTAAGGTACTATGCCACATTTGCAGGCCAAACCAAATGAAATGGTTAAATTTCAACAGCATTTTAAAGATAATACTTATTAAGAACTTCCCTTCAGTGATTGCTGTTTTATTAGGTGTAATCTATTGCCTCACTCTAAACCCTGCGCATGGTTTTATTTTGATAACAAATGCAGCGATACAAAAATAAAGGAATCTGTCGCTTGTAAACAAAATAAGACGCCATTGTATATTGAGCTACACACACCGGGGTATGTTAGATAGATAGATAGATAGATAACTGGTTTATTAATGAAAAACATCATTGCGGCATAGCCGAATTGCAATGATTTTACAAATATTCCTTTTTTTTAAATGACATAAATACGTTTGTACAAATGTTTAAAATACATTGGGAAATATAAATTCAAAAACATCACTATAAGTAATACGCTAAGACACCGCGAGGGGCATGACGTCTCCGCGAGCCTTTGTATTCTATTGTTTTTTAATGAGATCGCCGACCGAAGTTGGTGCAGCTATCTCCTCCTGAACCCTCCCCTCGGGGTCCCGGTGCCCGGTGCCATCGTCCGGGGGAGAGTCTACTCTGTGGAATTGGATATACTCCGCCCGAGGTCCTCCTCCGTGTCGATGTCCACGGCGAAAACAGACATGATATGCGTGACGACAGAGATACCTCATGCATATTCAACATTACATCCGTATCAAAGAGACACACAACAGATGACCATCAACTCACATTATGTTGCGTATTAAATGCTTTATGCAAAGGGTTGGATTACCGTGAGTAAACCATCTTGCTATGGGATGTGCTTTGTACTAGCTGCACAGGCCAGAGAGATACACGGGGCTAATTCCCGTCGACGTCCAAACTTACAGACCTATTTCCATCATGATTGCCGCGATTTTTATACAGTTTTCGTGAATGGAGGTATGAAATCAAAGCTTATTTTGTGATTATTACGGCCATGTTTACTGAATTTTGATTATCATTTTCTAAAGGAAAGTTTTCACAAGAAAACCATTGGACTGACAGCTCAGTCGCAAGCTAACTTCAGTCAACACACGTACACAGTATACAGTATACACGGTGCTTTGACTGAGTGAGCTGCGCTAGAGTCGAAGAGTATGGGGGCCAAGCAGGCCAATATTCGTACAACTATACAAGTACACATACGTCTATCCATCCATCAAAGAACCCGTCCACACAACAGCGTGCGGGCCGAAGTGCCATAAATTTGTTTCTTATATTTACAGTAAATTACAAGAAAGCATTAAATAAGGTAATGAATTGTACATTTGCATATTAATAGTTCAATATCAACCAGATTATCTTCATCACCATGAAGTGGCACTTTACTGGAAGAAGACAGTAGCATGTGACTTTATGCATTGCAAAACAGTCAGTTGCGTAATGAGTAAAATTGTTTGGGGGGAGGGGGGGGGGGGGGGTGTGCAGAAAATAATCTGCATCACCATGCACCATTCTTGCATGTTACATGAAGGCTCCAAGAAACGTTTTTCAAAGTGGGGGGGGGGGGGGGGGGGGGGGGGTCAGTTAGATCGCAGCGGGTTGAGTGTATATAGGCGTGGGGTCCACGGGTTTCAAGGGGCTATAAACCCCCGAAAGCTCAGGGGTTTTAGGCATTTAATTAGGGTCAGATGAGCATATTTTTAATACTTTATTTGTGACACTGGCAGGTCACTAATTGGCGTGGGGTCCATACGAAGATTTGCGTAGTGTTGTGTAACAACTACGCTGGCCTACGTTACTATATGCTGAGGGAGGCAAAGGGGTACGCAAGATGGACGCAAACAATTCAACATGTTTAATTTTTTTCGTGTACTTTCGGCGTAGAAACTAGACACAGAAAGTACGCAACACTACGCTACTGTACGCCATGCCTACGCAACAGCACGCTACCCTACGCCAGATCGACAAAGCAGTAAAAGCTTTCCACACAGTAAGCAACCGTAAGCAAACCTGTACGCCAGCCTACGCATAACCTACGCAAGGACTAAAGTGAAGCAGTAAAAGCTTTCCACACAGTAAGCAACCGTAAGCAAACCTGTATGCCAGCCTACGCATAACCTACGCAAGGACTAAAGTGAAGCAACATTTTTCCATTAATATGCAGCCTAATTTATGTGTAGTCGGTACGCAACACTACGCAACTCTACGCAGTTACAGTGTGAAAGAGGCTTAAAGAATAACTACCGGTAGAGTTTTGTTTTTATGAATGGCAAATAAAGTTCTTGGTGGTTTTAATTTAGAGAGTCCCTATATATCTATTTACACCCCTCGCCCCCCTCTAGAATCCCGCGGATTTCCGCGGGTCCTGCTAGTATTGCATATATTCAAACTGCATCAAAAATTGATATTATTGTTATTATGACAATACTGTGGAGTAGTAAGATATAAGTTTAAAGTATGTTCGGCGTTTCAAGGGGGAACAAATGCCGTCCTTAATATCATTCCAGGGGTTTTTCAATTTGAAAGTCTGGTTTCTTTGATTGTTAATTAACCCCTATCCTGTGTATTTACAAGCAAAAGATTTTAGTTATCAGAATCGGTTCATATCTCCTTTTGAATGGTTTGACATGCCATTACATTTATATGACACTAAACTCATTATAATTTGAGAAATAGTAGCTTTGCAATTATGTTCATTCTCTATGGGATGTCGTCTGCTTGGGCAGTGTTGGTCCATATAGTTACGTCATTAAAACATCGTTATTTTTCCGACGAATCTCTCGTATATCCCAGCTGCTATGGAGGTGGTTCTATTTGTATTTTTTATAAATCACCCGATATGTAGTTAACCTAAAACTTGTCCGATGGCCATCTGTTAGCTTACCAGTTTCTAGTGATACATTAGTTGACATATTTGTGATCTTCTTTGAATTTCACCTTTAACATGAATGTGTAAATGTAGTGTTACTGCCTTCAAACAGATTGGCTCATTAATATCATTTTTCTTCTAGGCAAATTTCAATTTAAAAAAACACGAAAATGCAAAACAAATATGTAATAACTGATATATTTTCACTGTTTTATCCTTTTTGTTAGGAAGGGGGGGGGGGATGGGATACTTTTAGTATAGACTGCATCAAATCACCTAAAAATAAGAATGGATTTACACCCTATAAAAAACAACCTCTTCAAAATACACTATAATATCAAACTCTTACACATTCATTTGTGTACATTCTGTTTAGGATCACATTCACTAACTTCTTTTGTATATCGCTCTTACAAAGTAAAAAGCTGTCAAATGCGGTGCTTTGGCGAATATCTCTAATGATAGTAAACACGATAGTGTTGAGTTTCTTACCCTGTCAGAGTGATTGGTCCAAGGCCAATTTATTTCATGCACGATGCAGGGTTTGTCACTGCGTGCTTTTAAAAGTTTTACATTTTGTAGAGATGTTGTAGTCTAGTGGATAAGTCTCCATACTGTGCACCACAAGGTACAGGGTTCAAATTTCTGCCGCAGCTCTAAGCTTCTTTAGCAAGACATTTATCTACATTTGCCACACTCCACCAAGGTGTACCTGGCCAGATTTATTCCTTGAATGCACCGATAGAGCTGCAAACCATTATGTTTTTCCCAGAAATATTTTGTTTTCTTTCTCAAAAACTATTAGTACGTTTGTTTCTGTGTGTGTTGCATATACCGCACGTCAGTCAGTTGCCCTTGAATGTTGATCACTACTTCAATAAAAAAACTTCTATAGAGATTTATTGATAGTGCGAATTTACAAATAGTAAAAAGGGAAAAAAATTAAAAGGTGTAAATATTCTCAAAAAGAATAAAACATTGATGATAACAAAAACACAACAACAAAAACCTACCTACACTGTACTTGTAAATAAAGTATACACTCATGTAGGTCCTAATATGAGGACATTTCTGCATTGTAAGTGTTACACAGAGATTTACGGTACATTTTTTTTGTGGTCAATACAAAACATTAATATGATAAAAGACTAGTTTATTATCATCTTTTTTAACATATTTACACTGAATGTTTGCAAGAAATGTTTGCTTTAAAATACAGCACCTTTTAAAATGAGTTTTAGAACCTTCAGAACCTGATTTGAATGAACA